CTATTGAATTTTCCATTATACTCTTATATTTTCAACCTGAATTTTTTCTCATCAGATGAATATAAATGAAATACATTATTTTTGAAATTGGATTTACTGTTTGTGATATAAATTAGAATATAATATCATTATATTTCTCTTCTTTCTCGAACTAAGGCTGGAAAATATTCATTTAATAAAATTTCTCTAGCATTGTTAATATTATGGTCTGGAGGATCAGCTTCAATGTCTTCAACATAATTTATATTAGCTAAATTGACTTCTTGATCCAGGGGTGGTTCTTGTTCTCTTTTATCTATGGCAATATTATGTAACACTCCTACAGCAACAATGACTGTTTGTGCAGTTTCTAATTTGAGTAGAAGCCCTAATGCTAAAACAGGAAACCTCCTTTTCCACACGCCATATTGACGTTCTACTGGATTCCTAGTTCGTGTAACTAAAAAAAAAAAAAAGTAATTACAGAAACATTCCAAGAAACATGAAATATAAACTGCAGAGAGACTTTGAAAATATATAATTGAACTCATTAACTTGAAATATCGTTTCAGTAAAAAACTTTACTATAAAAATTACTTTTTGAAATATTGTATGAAATTTAAATACAATTTTTTTAGCTGATATAACTTAATATTATGAAATGAACAATCACCTGATTCATTATACAACTGCTCTACTTCATTACCCGGTGTTAGCAATGGTGTGATAATGTGTTGAGTATTGGCATAGCCACTATCTGCCACCAATAAGCTATTACCAAATTCTCAATTTTCCAGTCTACGTTTCAAATTGGAATTATCAAAGATGGTTTGGTCATGTGTAGAACCTGACCAACGGGCAACTAGATCCATGATCTTCAAATCTGTTGAACTAACAGTTTGAACATTTGTTGAAAAATATCGTTTTCGGTTTCTGAAGAGTTCAGCATTATCCTTACCTAAAACAATAAATGATTCATTTATCCCTTCATTTTGATAAGATATTACAAAGAGACTGAATTTTTATATCTGTGCAATCTAGTGAGCCAATAACTAACAGGGCTTTTACTAACATGCATGTAATCATCAATAGTTATTAAAAAAACTTCCTGTTGCATATAACCTCAATGTCAGTAACAATTGGTTAATTAGACTGACGGAAAAATTCCTGAAATGAGCATAAAATTTGAATCTGCCATGACAAAGATCCATTCACTCTTACCTATCTGTTGGTGTTTCAAGTGCTTGCTCTATTTATTCTAATATGAATAATACTGTTTTTTTCTCCAATCTGAATCTTTTCACAAACTCCACCTCATCTAATTCATTGAAAGCATCATTACGTTCATTAACAATGTAAGGTCTTCTTTGTGCTTCAATGAACTCCACTATATCCACACCTTCGTCATTTAACAAATAAAAAAATTCCATAGTTTAACAATTATAGTAATTAACTCTTTACTTGCAAAAAGTATTTTTTAAATAACATTTATATCACAAAAAACATAAATAACCTAATTTCGCATGCGCAACCTCATAACCATCGGAATTGTTATTCTGTGACATAACTGTCAGCTTAAATAAAAAACTATCACTTTCTAGCGACTGTTACGGTCACTGAGACTTCAGCTATCAGTTGATGGTAACATGATAACGAAAAACAGTTTGACTGGGAGCTAAGACAAAACTGTTAGTCAAATGAGGTTAGCTGGCGATTGATAAACCGGCCCTTAGTATTTTAAAATCACTGAAACCCTCCTCATCAACGTAGTCGATGTAGGTAAATCCAATATCTTCAATATCAGAAATAATGTCTGAAACACTATTTACAAAAAATGAATTGAAACTATTAGCTAATTCTTTATTTTTTATTTCAAGATAAGCGCATCAACCACTAGGGTTATTAGCGCTACGTTACATTTCACATTAAATGACTATTGTGTTTAAATTAAATGATACATATTGATATTTGTCAAGAATGACATGATATTTTCAATACTGCAAGTGTCACTAAGAGTTTCTCGTTGTTCTTTCGGTATTCCGAATTCTATTCTTGCTTCCTGATACTTGGGACAAATTTGAAGAACGTGTTTCACAGTTACTGCTGTATCACATATATCACAGATAGTTTGTTCCTCGCGTGATGAAAGAAAATCGTGCGAAAATTTGGTATGTCCAATACGAAGTCGACAGAGGATTACCTGGTGTTTTCTGGTTTTTGGTAGGTGTGTCCAGATTTAACGGATGGCTTTATTTCGTTTAGTTTCGAATTCGTCTGGAGCCATTCCCTCTGCCACTCGTTTATTATCATATTCTTGATGTATCTTTTCATATCAGACGGAGTTATTTTGGTGATTATCCTTGACCTATGATCGTCTATCGCTTCTTTTGCTGTAATATCTGCCTTTTCATTACCAGCGATTCCAATATGCGATGGGACCCATAATAATATTACTTTATTCCCTAACTCTTCGATTCTATATAGTTAATTTTTTATTTGTGATATTATGGGATTGTCTGTATATAACTGTTGCGTACCCTTAATAAGCACTCAAAGAGTCTGTTACAATTAGAAATCTATCAGCAGGATGATTTTTCAGAAATAATAATGCTGGTAGTATTGCGAATAGTTCAGCTGTGTATATACAATCCTGATCTGTTTTTTAAGCATCGATGTACAGAATTACATGGATCTCATAAAGGGTTAGTTTTTGTTTGAATAAGTTCAGTAGAATTTGGGGGAGAGTATCATTTTTTGTCAAACAGGTAATGTGTTGGTTTGGTTGCAATAGAAGTAGCATAAGAGAGACTCATATATTGTCTACGGTACCTTAGTGGGATTTCATTTGCTTCGCATGATAAGCTTTCGATTGGGCTTGTTCGTTGAGCTCCTAATGCTATTCAAAGTGCTGTACTTTGAACAACGTCTAGTTTTCGGATGGTCGACTGGTTTGCAGAAGCATATGCTATTGATCCATAGTCGATTCTGGATCTAATAAGGGCTCTGTAGAGTCGAATAAGTGTTGTTGTGTCGGCACCCCATGTTGTATTGGATAGCATCCTCAGTAAATTCAAACCTCCTTGTCACTTTCTGATGAGATGATGTATGTGTGATTTCCAGTTTAATTTTTGATCGAAAATCATTCCAAGAAATTTAATTTCGTTAACATATTCGAAATTTTTGCCATAGAGTTGTAGACTTGGTCGGTCTCTGATATGTGTTTTCGAAAAGAGTATAAATTTTGTTTTTTCTGATGAGAAAGTGAGTCCTGTTGATTCAGACTAGAGTTCTAGCTGTTGTAGGTGATGCTGGAGTATTGAACTCATTGTTTCAATATTCTTTCCATTGATAATTAGAAGTAGGTCATCAGCTTTTTAGCCAATTCTTGTTTTTCTCTAATGATAACGTTTTGATTATTTTTTTTTCAAATTGAATACCATTAGCAAAATAGTCAATCGCACCATGGTCATTCATAAAAGTATTCACCAATACTTCGTGGCAGCTGTGATTGTTTAAAACATAAAATAATAGGATTGAAATAGTTCAAGAAAATTCTAACCAATATGTATTGAGTATTCCAATAGCATATATAGTTTTAATAATAGTTGGGGCAATTTTAGTATTTACTTTTGGGTTCAAGTCTACTGAGCAACCACCTTTTGACAAACTTACTAATGAGGATAGAAAGTTGATCGGAAAGAAACGAAAACCCAAATAAAAGAAAACGACATCTAGTGGGTTTGTCACCAGTGGGGAGATAAAAAATGAAAAAGAATCCAAAAAATCACCAGGAAAGGAGCTATCGCATGTTAAACTGGAACAGAAAGAAAGAAAAATAGATAACAAACAACTGGAAAAAAAATAAAAAATAACCCAATAAAGTTAAAAATAATGAGGATATAAAAAACAAGAAGAACGTAAAGAAAGTTATAGAAAAACCTGTTGATTTTGATGAGGGTAACTGAAAAACAGTTCTTACAAAATCCGACAAGAAAAAGAAGGCAGACCAATCGTCTAAAAAAAAGGAGAAAAAAGTAAAGAAAACTGAAAAAGAGGAAACAGAAAAAAAAGATGAAATTGTTATAAAATGATGAATCAAAAGAGAGTGACATAAGCATTGATCAGAATTCTATCAAACCAAAAGTAATTGGTGTTGAAATTAATATTGTTGAGGAAAAATTGGAGGGAGAAAATGAAAAGAAGGGGAAAAAAATCAGAAAAGAATTCTATAACCAATCAGACCAACCCGAAGTAAAAATGATGTTGGTCAATTGTTCAGAACCACTTTCACTTAAAACCTCTGCTGATACTTGTACACACGATGCAGTTATATCTAATGAAGCAGCTGCTGTTTTTGACGAGCTCGGGGATGTCTGTACAAAAACTAGGACAACAAAGAAAACAAGTAAGAAGAAAGCTCGTAGGGATAATTGAAACCACAAAGTAATAGTTTTATTTTGCGCATATGAACAATTATTTTTTTATCAGGTATATGGCAAATGTCACCGTTATAACTGATTTGTGAAGATTTTAGATCTCACAATTTGAAAGGGCCCAACCTACTATTTTATTTGTTATTGTAATATATTCATAGTGAATTTAAAAAAAACTCTGAACTGGAGAGATATATGCATTTTCTATTATTGGAGATTTTCGAAGCAAACAGTATGTGTTTAGGGTTAATAAGAATGCTCAAGGCTAGAAGATATTCTTGAATTGTGATTCCTTCAGTCGTAGGAAAAATTATAGCTTGGTTTCTCTCTGTAAATTTCATTGATTGTTGCTGGCTGAGAGCTGAAGAGTAGCACATATTTTTCTAGTTGGTTGCTTAGTGGTATCCGTTGTGGTTTCCATCGTTGTAGATTGGTGATTCCTGTAGTCAGAAATTACCGATGAACATGAGTTGAAATGTGTATTTGAACTTCCTGGCACAGGACGTGTGTACCTGAGTACCATCCTGACCCGTGCGATTCATCAACGATTCCCACAGTTGACAGCGAAATGATACTGTTAAGGCTGATTCTCACTACACGTGCCAGGCACGATCCAGTCACGGTCAAGTCACGATCGCAATTTTTATAATGCATTCACACTGTCCGGTCAATAGTACGGTCGAAATCTCCAGACAGTCATGTTTTCGCGAAATACATTAATGAAAATAGCCATTGTTTTGGATGAGGAAGAACAAATCTCACTTCCCAAAGCTCGACGATATTGGGTGCATCCTATCCTAAGGCAGCGCAAGAGAAAAGGAGAGTTTTCTACTCTATATAAAGAGTTGATTGATGATGAAACAAAATTCCACAGATATTTTAGGATGTCCCCTAACGAATTTCACCAATTACATGAAATTTTAAAAAGTGATTTGACCAAGCAGAACACCACGTTTCGGGAGTCTATTTCCTCTTTGGAGAAACTTGCTGTTTGTCTAAGGTGAGTAACTACATTAAGANTCTTTTTTTTTGACTTAAACATAAGTGTTTGTACTGATTCATTATTGATATATGGTAAAATTATATTTGTTTTAGATTTCTTGCAACCGGTGATTCATTCCAGACCATCTCATTTAGTTACCGCCTTGGTCATTCCACTGTTCATGCAATTGTACAAGAAGTGTGCAATGCAGTAATCCGTAAATTATTGGCTGTATGCATACCAACACCGCGTAGAAAAGACTGGGAGAAGATTGCTGAACAGTTTTGGACTACATGGAATTTCCCCAATTGTCTTGGGGCACTGGATGGCAAACATATAGAAATAACAGCTCCTTCTAACAGCGGATCGAACTATTTCAATTATAAGAAAACCTTTTCGGTAGTACTACTAGCATTGGTCGATGCCGATTATAAATTCATAGCGGTAGATATTGGCTCTTATGGGAAAAACAGTGATGGTGGTATTTTTTCTACATCGAGATTGGGGAAATCATTGAATAATGGCACTTTGGACATTCCGGACTGTAAAAACTTACCTGGAACGAATATTGAAGCACCGTACGTTATTGTAGGCGATTCAGCATTTCCCTTAAAAGCAAATTTATTGAGACCGTATCCAGAGTTACAAGTTCAAGGAGATGTGGAAAAACGAATTTTCAATTACCGTCTTTGTCGTGCTAGGCGTGTTGTAGAAAATGCCTTTGGTATTTTAGCACAAAGATTTAGACTGTATTTTAGAAAAATTAACTCGAAACCCAATTATATAGAAAATATTATCCTAACCACATGTATTTTGCATAATTTTTTGCGCAACGGTACTTCAGTTTTGTCAGAAAGCTCTTCTTCAAGTGAACAGAATCAACCTATTTTTATGGCATTGCCTGGTATTGGTAACAATGCCCGACTAGAGGCATTTCAAGACAGAGAAAAATTTACTGCCTTCTTCAACTCTGAAGTGGGTTCGGTGTCATGGCAAAATGATAAAATATAACATATAATGTGTAATATTGTACGTAGCTATTTAATAATAAATTCAAAAATTTGTTTATATGCTTACCTGTTTTTAATGTTTGCCCTATTTCATCCCACAATTTGTTTTTGTGGGGTGTATCCATATATTTTCTGTGGGACATATCGTATAATTCCTCATGTTCTCGAACCAATTCAATCATTTGCTCGTCCATTTTGCATGCGACTTGACCGGCGATCGCCGTTTCGTCATTCACACTGAACAGGCATGGTCATGTCCGCCACGTGCGCGACGGTCTTTGATCGCCCCAGAAATGATCGTCACGATACTAGACCGCGGCTTGTCTTGACCGTCCCGTCCAATGTGAATTAAAGCATTGTTTTACATTGAATGTGATTCCAACGGTTTTGACTTGACCGTGACTGGATCGTGCCTGGCACGTGTAGTGAGAATCAGCCTTTATCTTTTGGCAACGGGAATCCCTAACCGTTCCTATTGGCGTACTCGGTTTCTTCTGTCTTACATCTTGAGTTCGTGCAAACTCTTGATTCTTTATTCTTTTGACATTTTGCATGCGCTGAATTTGAATTTAAACACATTTTCGTACAATCATTTCTTACTTCTTGATTCTCGTGATTCGCATTATTTTTCTCGGCAATTCCTGATTCTTGAGTATACGGGTAATCCTGATTTTCCTTATTCTCGAACTTATTTCCTTTCTCATTTCCTATTTCTGTCGAACATCTTATCTCAGTTGCTTCATAGGGATTTTCCATCCTAATTTCATCCTGGAAAGTAACTCGTTTTTTTCCCTTCATACACGACGTGTCTCTAGACCCCATTCTATTTTCTCGGACTTTGTCTGTCCTACATATACAAGGAGCTTTTTCGCTTCCTTCGTTCCACATTTCTGACAATCTCTCGTGTCGTAACCATTAACCACATCATATTCATAACTGGACTCGGTTTCCGATTTTCCTCGGTTTTCGCATGGACTCAGTTTTTGGTTAGGTTCCGCATACGGAACAAACACTTTCCTACTAATCTGGCCATCCGCTCCAGGTTCTCCTCTGCCGTTTTCAGCTGAATCTCGTATTTCATACTGTTTCGAATTCATATCCTCACGCTTATCGTACGGCCCTTCTACACAGGTCGCCGTCGTATTACCAATGCACAGGAAAAGCTACGTTTCCTCGCCTCATATCTTGAACAACTCAGGTCATCACATTTCGAAATCATATTTCCACTATTAGCGCACGACTTTTCAACACAAGTCGCTGTCGCTTTTCCAACACATATTTCGGGACAAGAAAAGCTACGTTTCTTCGTCCTATAATCTGAACAACACAATCACATCTAAGGCACGAGTCTTTTACCTCTGAACTCGCTGTCCTTACCAAAGCTAATTTCTCTTCAAATTTCTGAGAAGAGCGCGTAGAGAAAATCCCATTTCCATAAGGTTGAAAAGGCTCACTACTTCCTTTTCGACCGGGTGAACTCAGTGGTAGTGACACCGAATCCATCAGGGATTTTTCTCCAAGCTTCTTCAAACTGCCTAACAAATTCTCTTCCATATTTTCCAGTTTTCTTTCTAAACTGTCTATCTTATCTCTGATTTCATTGGATTCTTTGGCTCCTAAAACATACTGACTTTCGCAAATTAATGTGACTTCTTGATCTAACACAAACATCGTATTCGTATTCCAACACATTTTTACTCCGTATTTCTGTAGAAAATCCATTCCTAACAACATATTTGTAGCAAAATCTGCTACTTCTATCACCAGAAAGGTATGTTCGATTATCCGACTTTCACCGAACCTTAATTGCAACTTCGTAAATCCTCGGTACGGAATCAACTTCCCTTGCACGTCTCTTAATGCGTAATCTTTTCCACAAAATCGACAAAGTCGATCGGCACGTGTCTATCGACATGTTTGATATTTGACTTGTCCACATACCTCTGTATATGTGGACTAGTCGGGCGGTACACGCCGGTGTAAACAGATAAAAAGTGAATCTAAATGAAAGTAATAAAGTGTATTATGTATTCACGTTAAAGTTTCAATTAAAGTTTTCAATAAATTTAAATGAGTGACTCAGAAGACGCTGCAGTGGCGGCTGCTGCAATTATCATTGCAGTTGCAG